GTTTTTTTATTTTCTGACTTGTGGTACAGGAATAAAATGAGCCCTGGAGTGTCTCGGTGTCTGCAGCTCTGCTGGAGACCTGCAGTGAATACCAATCTGCAAGGTGATGTAGGACCACATAGTGTGCAGCTGTCCTCCACACTGTTGGCTCAAGTCTAAAATTAGAAACATTCCTACTTGAAAAAAGCTTGTGGACAGATTGCCTTTGTACAAATATATTTTTTAAACACTATTCCCTTACGGGTTTCGTATCTTACCTTCCTTTATTCCTTCTATTGTACCCCTTTCCATTGAAATGTGTATAAACTATTAATGTCACAGAAGCATTCGCCAGCACTCTCCCAGCAGGCATCGCCAATCTCTAAACCAGTCCCTTTGTTTAGTCCCGCTGAAAAGATTCTAATCTATCTTCTGCAAGCATTGAAAACAAACCAGCCTGCAAATGTCGGTTATTATGCATGTCTCGCGGAGGAAAGGAAGAAAAGTGACGTGATGAAGAGTATTCTTCTTCTGCGATGGAGGCAGTGGTGCTGCGGGCTCCTCCCGGCATGTGGCAGTGTGTGTGTGTCCGTATGTGTGTGTGTGTGTGTGCACGTGAGCGAGTGTGTGTCTGAGATCCATAAACCAGGCCTTCGTCTTCTCGTTCAGATATTCCACGCTGTGTTAGAATGATGCCCTGTGCCTGCATTTGCAAGGCATCTCCATGCGTTGTATATGGATCAAGGGATAATAAGTCAGTTTCGCCAGTGCTTGCTGATATATTGTACAGTAATTCTATAAATCTGGTGGCTATCCAGCCATCCATTCAATCATTATACAGTGTAACTGACAGTATGATATGTGAAATGTAAAAGAAGACCTGGTGAACTGTTAGACCAATAGATGATGGAATATTAATTGCCACAGTTCAAAATGCTTTCCAAGCTAAAATAAAAGTTAGATGAATACAAAAGCATTTTGTTGTGAAGTTCTATGTCTTGGGATGGAAAAAATGAAAATGCTGAAATATGAATGCATAGCAACCAATATAATCATGATCTGAATGAAAGAAATCACAGAAGCATAGTCAAAATTCAGTTATACTGTATCAAGCAACACATCTGGTATAGCAGAAATCAGGACAACTGTACTGAAGAAACTTGATTAATATCTTTAGACCAGACAGCATTGCTTTGCTTTAGGATACAATGAGTATCTGATTGCAAGGCACATACTGTAACAGAAAGTGTGTGCATGTTATTTCTCTTCTAAAAAGAAATGCTTGGCACACGTTTGTAAATCATGGCAATTTCATGCTATCAATAAATGCATCAAGTCTTTACATTCCTTGTTTTCTTTCTGCATCAGAGATCTCTAAGTCAGTTGTCAAAACAGTTATTGATCCTGCCATCCCCAGTCCACAGTAATACAGATCAGTTCTCCATCACCGAGTCTTATCATTGGTCAAGTCTTGAGCAGACTATTGGAGTTTAAAAACAGGTATGTTTCTAGCAGATAGCAGATCATTGCACCGTGCACCTCAAAATCTCTGTTGCCTAAATACTTCACCTGTTCAGATACCAAAGTCTGACATGCCTCTAATTAAGATTGCACTTCTAACCCTGTTGCTTGTTGTGGCATTCTCTTGTACACTGACGGTTTCTTTAGCATTGCTTGTTGTGTACATGTCTCAGACATGAGAGCTACAGTATGAAGGAACCAGCTTGGCTCTTCTTGCAGTGTCTATTTATTTAAAAAAATTGCTGTGTTTGGAATTTTTTAAGTCTACAGTGGACCACTATTTAACAGAAAAAAAGAGACTAATTGATGTCTGATCATTCAGAAATCAGATTTGGTTTTGATTATTTCAGAACCAGATTTGTCATCTTCTTCAGGAAAGTCAGAGGAATGCACACCTCAAGTTACAGAGCGGTAAAACAGTAATCAATCAAAATGATAGAATAAGCAGGTCAACACACTCCATATTCCATAATCAAATTTAAACATTGTGTATCTACATTTTGATAGCATATCTTCCCATAAAATTGTAAGCAAAACATAAACTTGGCAATAGTTTATACTTTATGCATTGCTGGGTTGTGGTTTTGCATTAAATGGGCTCTTTAAATGGCTTTTCACGCACACAAATGTCATTTTTGGCTGGAGAAAATTGTACATTGTCTGGATTGAGCGGGTGGAGTGGTGAGGAGCAGATCACATTCTGCCGTTCTCTGTTGACAGAGACCTCTTCCGCCTTTCATCAGCATGAAGCTGAGACAACAAACACTTTGAAAATGCACCATCGACAGCCTGCTGTCTGAATCACTGCACCTGTGTTATTAAAAAAAAATGTCTCTGTATTGGCAGCGACGGTCCAAAGGGAGGGAAAAGAAAATGTCTTGCTTTGGGCAAAACAAGTGGCTAGAAAAGAAAATGATGTCATACAGGCACAAGGCTGCAACATTCCAGTAGTGAACAGCGGGTGTATACCACACTCATAAGGGTGTGGCTAATTTAGAAACATTCAGGTTGTGCATGGCCAGCCTGATCGGCCTTCCTGTCACTGCTGGTGCTTGGTGCCAGTGTGTCAGTGCCCCAGGCATCAGTTCCCTCCTCTCTCCGCCAGGTTATTGCTGCTGATCAATCAGCGCTGGACCGCGGTGGCATGGAGGGGGCTGGCCGTGTGTTCTGAACCGAGGCACCGCTCTGCTGGTGCGGTTTCCCCTTTCGATCGGGGACAGAAACCAAAAAATGCCTAATCGCTCAAGTCTTGGCGGGGGGGAGGGGTGTCTTCATCAGAAATCAAAAGAGCTTTGAAAAAACATTGCTAGCTATCCTAAGGAAGATTTTTTTTTTATATACAAAGCCCCTAGTGTTTCAAACTGAACAAGAGCAGGTTCTGGTCACAGTGGTATCTAGAGGCTAGGCCTTCAGTTCACGTAGGACCTGATGCAGTATATCATACCAATATTTCTCACCGCTGGCTTGGGCAGGCTGAAGGCAGTTCTGCTCTTTTTGTGGGGCTTGGTTTAATAAGGCAGGGCTCTCAAGTCTGTTTGCTGAGGTCTTTTCCTCTTGTAGTGGACTGAGTGCGGCTGTGCCTTGTGCCCAGAGAAATCTCATGAGTTTTCTTCCCTCGCTGCTGTGCTTTACTCAAGCTGAGAGTAACTTGATGACATCTGAAATAATTTAAACAAGCGCAGTGATCATTAATGGCCCTTTGCATTTTTTTTATTCCATTTATTTGTGTATAGAAAGCAAATAAAAAAGCTTTAACTGAGCGGGGAATAACTGAGCCCTGGGATTTTTTTTTTCAGTCCAGTGGTGGTGAGGCAGTCTGTGAACTAATCTTCTCGCTGTGCTGTCGGTAATGATAGTTAATTATTATTTTGTGTCTGTGTTGCGCTCACTGTGCACAGCGTCGCCCCGATTTGTGCTTTTGGCTGCTCAGCTCTCCCCCCGGAGAGCAAAGATGTAAATAGAGGCGTTGCAGCAGCCTGCGCTGTTCAGAGAGCTAATGAATTAAACATCCCAAACAGTCATTTTCACCCATTTCCACTGACAAAAGATCACAACAGATAGAGGCTGGCAGGCACCTTCACAGTACTCGCTGCTCGCCTGTGTGTGTGAGCGAGCGTGAGCGTGTGCCCATATGTCCTTGAGCATGCATGTGTAATTAAATAACGTGCATCGTGTAATGCAGAAGTTTGTGAATATTAAAAAGTAGTCCCATTTATATGCTGAATAACGAGAAAACTGCCGAGCGAATTTGGTGCGACCAGAGGCTTCAGGACCCACTCTCGCGCAGTGATTGATGTGTTTGGCCTTTGCCGGATGAAAAGATACCTCCCACTCAAAAAAGTCAAGATCTTGGAATTCCATGGGGCTGAGCTGCACTGAAATTGAATGTTCTGCAGATGTGTCTTGACTCTAAGGCTGTGCTGCTGTCCCACTGCATAAAGGTTTTGTGATCAAAGGCACCAGCAGTCACCTGCCGCATGTGGAGGTTGTCCACAGTTGAACGGCCTCCGCTCTTTTGAGAAAACAATTGTCCTTTTGTGTTTGTTACACTTAACCCATCAGAGGTGCTTTAACGTCATGGCTCTATGGGGACACCTTGGCCAAATCCATGGTGACACCACAGGAATGGCCTTCATGTCCTAAAACTTGGACGAGCTGCCTTTCTTAACCTCATGGAGTTCAGATCCTTCCTCTATCCAGTTTTCTAAATTTTACCCCCAGGAACGAAAGCTGAGGATTTCTCCTTTTTTCTCAGATTTTAGATTCCATCATGCACTTTGTTATTTTATATACTGTATAATGTTTTGTTTTTGGAATCACCAGTAATATGTCCTTGTCAAACACTCTCTATATTGAATTGCTCTTCTTTTCATGACTGTGACACATGTGCCAGTATGGGAGTATGGGGAAACACGGGGTCTCACTGACACTCCTGTTGTTGAATCGTGTATTGTGTGACACACCGTAAGGCCTTGCAAGAAGAATTAGCAGAATCTGGAGGAGTTCTTTAGGCATGTTTGGTTATCCTTGTCAGGCAAGGTGAGAATGCTGTGCCTACACAGCTGCTCTGGTACCTGGCTAGTTTCATAAAAATGGTTAAAAATGAAAAGAGACCATTTGGCCTATCTTTCTTGTTTTGGTATTCCGTAGCTACTTGACCCAGCCAATTGACTCTTCAGACTTTTCTTGGAGGAAACCAGGGTATCAGCTTGTTCCACATTTTCCACAACCTTTTTCATAAAGAAGAGCTTCCTCTTCTAGCCAGAGAGCCCTGTCCAAGGATGTCTTCATGCTGAGGAATCAGTTGTCACACTTGTGCTGAGACTCTGCTTCCAAACAATGCGATTTTTGTTTTTTTTTGTTTGTAAGGCCATTATTCCTTTACTGTCCACCCAAAGGGTGGGATGTTCTTTCACATAAGAGAGGAATACAATGGATGAGTGCAGTAAGCATGCTTTAGTAAGCTCTTCTGTATTCAATGTGCTGTCTTGTCTCTGCAGGCCCTGAGGAAGACCACACGTGTCACGATGAAGCCACTCGCACTGCTCTGGCTGTTAGGTTCCCCGCCTCAAGCACCTCCACCCACGGTCTGTCACGCCCTGCTTCTCCCACCACGGAGTACCTGCCCAGGTGTGTTGCACCCTTCCTCACCTCTTTCTCTGTGGGCAGTCCACACTCCTCCTCACTCTCCGCCTCCTTTCCCCTCCTCACTCTCCTAATCCTCCACCTCCTCACTCTCCTCCTCACTCCCCTCCATCCACTCTCCTCCTCCACACTCCTCCTCACTCTCCTCATTCTCCTTCTCCTCCTAACTATCTGCCTCCTCCACACTCCTCCTCACTCCCCCCTGCCCCCTCATTACACCTCCTCAGTCTTCAGCTCATTGTTATTTACTCTCCCTCTGCACGTGTGCTTTACCTTGGCTCTTAACTGCCCATTAAAACATATTGATTCACCGGGAGTGGGCCCTTTCATTTTTATGAGTTCTTCCCCAACGTGACGAGAGTGTGTCAAGAGGTTTATCAGATGCTGCCTCTGCCAGCTTTTGAGAACTTGTAGTGCGAGAAGAATGTAGTGCTATTATACAGAATAAAAACAAATCAAATTTTCTGTTTCTTATAAAATTATTGATCCTCTACCTAATCCACCAGTTTCTTATAGTCCATTGTTGAATCATCACTTAATCTTAGCAATCTATTCTCTTATACTTTCTGACCCTTGTCCTGTGTCTACTTCATCTTAATTCCCATGTACAGTATAGCCCTGAGTGAGTGCACTAACTGTAGGTTTCTTTCCCATAAGAACATAACAACAGTTACAAAAGAGAAGAGACCATTTGGCCTATTTGTTAGTTACTAATTAATTGATGTAAAGATCCCATCCTGAAGTTTCTTGAAAGAAGCCATGGTGTTGGCATCCACAACATGGCAGAGTAGCTTGTTCCATTTTCCCACACAAGTATCTGGGCAAACAAGTATGTCCTCTCGGTTTTCGATGCCCTTCTGCGTAGTTTCCACTATTGTCCTCTGGTTTGTGTTTCACTGTTTCAAATCCTCTGCATTCACTTTGTCAGTACCCCTGAAGATTTTGAATTGACCAATTGACCATTGGTCCCCTTGTAGTCTTTGTTGAAGACTTAAAAATTCTAGCTCCTGTCAGCGTAGGCATCCAGCCTCCTTCAGGGTGTGGAAGAGCGGAATTCCGTCAGTATCAATCCCTCCCCAATGGGTAAAAGGCAGAGGCTAGTTCTTCCAAAGGGTAATTGCAGCCAGAAAGCCACAGCAGCAGGACTCATTGCAGCAGGGATGAAATGGAGTGCAAGGTGGAAACAACCGCCGGTCGCTCTGTGCTAATGGCATTTCACTGTTAAATGAACCAGCACCCCATTGCCTGGTGATCACGGAATGTAAGGCTCTTGTAATCCATATGCCAGCCCAGCAGGGTGCTGTGTCTGTTATTTCTGTGCCTATGCTCCTCAGACACTGTGGCTGCTGCACGCGCATTGTCAGCAGTAACAAGCTGTCAGCGATCAAGCTCAATGTTCTGGTTGACAGAAGTGTTCAGTCATATTAAAGGAGTTGTTTAAGAGCTTATGCAAAAGTGATCCATCTCAGCATGCAAATATGTGTTCAGCCACTGGATGCCTGCACACAAGCCCAGCAACATACACAGACTACTCCGCTACAGGGCTACCACTGGTGTCCTGACTGCACAAGACCAAAGACCCAGAGGGCCTATAAGGGCCTTTGAACCTGGGGGACAAGGTGTCTAGTTAGAGGGTCCAGGGCAGGTCTGAAGGACCTTTTAAATACAGTATACCTTGAGGTCTCTAGCAGGATTAATCATTCTGCTAGACCCTGAACTGCCTACAGTCCTATGCATTCATATTTGTTAAGAAGGTTGTATTTCCCACTCAAAGAGACTAAGGGAATCTGCTGTGCTGTGCTGTGATGGAGGTCTGATCTCAGGACCCTCTTTTTGTTCTGCCCATTTACGGTACACATGAGTCATATGAGAGTGTAAACGCTAGAAAATGACAAATTATCAAACCACCTTCTAATTTAAAGCGGTTTCCTGTCCTGCATTAATTAAATAGCTTAATTAAGGTTTGCAGCTAAAAGGGAAAATTAAATGAGTTCCTGAATTTAAAATGGCTCTCCTAATTAACTTAATTGCATTTTTGAAATATAAAAACATTCATTAGGATGCCAAGATTAGAAAGAAATGTTTTCTTTGTAGCAAGCTTTTTATCAACCATTCTGAAAAAAAAACATGGAACAAAACAAAAGCCTTAAATTTTCAACTGGAGGACAGAATATTATTTGAAAATATACCGTCATTCTGTTGAAAATATGTCACTATGCATTTTTAAAATCTATATACTGTTTATGAGACCCACTGAGTCATACTGTACGTCCTTATTACTTATAACATCAAACATACCAAGCTGGAATCTGCAATTATCTGGATGTTAAAAAGCAAAAAGTCTGCTTAAGAAAATATTGAGATCAGTGTAAGAGATCAAGTTGGGTAATTGAAAACTCAGCGGGGAAAAAAATAAATAAATGCATGTGCCCTGGAGATCAAGTTGAGGAGCCAGCTCTCTAGACTGCAGGGGTAAGAGAGAAAGATAGACCTAGGCCTAGTCTGAGGTTTAGAGACAGAGTTTAGGTAGGCATGATGTCAGAGGAGAGCAAAGGACAGGGAAAGAGTCTGAGGAGGGTTTGTGATGGATATTCCTGCTAGCTGCCTAGCACCTCAGGGTTTGCCCAACCAAAGCTCCAAGTAATGGCAGGGAACAGAGGGATTTGTCAGGCTCCCATTTCAGCTGTGACCTGTCAGGCTGTGATTGGTTGGCAGGCACCCTGGCTCGGGAATAATAGGCACCTGTGTTCTGCTCTGAGGGCCTGGCAGAGCCTCAATGTGAAGACCAGTGTGTGTGAAAGGAGATGGATAGAGGGAGAGAGGGAGAGGTGGATAAAAAGCAAAGAAATAAAGAGAGGGAACAAGGTCGGGCGATTTTGTATCAAAGAGTGAAAGGGTTTTTTTTTTCCTTCTCTCCCTCTTCCCCAATTCAAACACTTGGTTGGAAGACACACTCTCATGCCCTTCTCCTACTTCTCCGACTCGTCTGGCTAGGGTCCAGCGATCTCCAGCCAAGCCGAGCCCTCGGTCCAGACACCCCCTCCCCACCCCAGCTCTCGCCCTGACCTCCCTTCTTGTGTGGATGGCACTGAATCTGCGTCGCGAGGAGGCGTGCTCGTATCAGGCCTGCGTGACATCTGCACAGCAGTTTGCATAGCTGGCCGCCTCTCCCTGGTTTCACTGGGGAGACAGAAAGAGAGAGCGATGGGAATTGAGGGGAGGGAGGCAGGGCTGGAAGAAAAGAACTTGCACGGTGAGAAGAGACAAGAAGGCAATCAAAGACGATCTTACCACTGTCTGGCTTTTGGGTAAGGGCCTGCTGTTTACTGTTGTCACAAAGTAGCAAATTGTCTAGCTCCATAGCAAAGGAATGCTATTTTTTTGTTCAGCGAGTCCTGCTGCTTGAGAAATTGTACTTGGGCTTTGTATCCTATTAGGGGGAAGAAGGAGGGGGGCCTAGTGTTACTGCCTTCTTTTAGCAATTTATTTTCTTCTCCGAGTGGACGCTGCTCCATGGATTGGCATACCCTCTTTATCAAGAGTTTCGGCTACAAAAGCGACAGATAGCTCCGAGCTCCCCCGGCTGATTAAAAACACCAGCCCTGTGCAAACTCTGATGAGAAACCCTGTGGCTCTGCTCGGCTGTGGCATGGTGTGCCTGCCATCCATACTGCAAGAGCTCTTTAATAAGGGGCCCGTATCAATGAGATTTTTGCTCCACTTTCTGTGAGGCCAGATAAAATCCCAAATAGTTCTCCAGAAGAGAAAAACGAACTTATGCGTATGTACCTCTCCATCTCTTTTTTCTGTTTGCGCCTTTAGCTTTTTTTTTTAACTTTCCTTTCCTTTAGTTACAGTTACTTTCAGAAAAAAAGAGGTAGAAAAATTTTGCCCCCCCCTTCCCACCTCCAGTAAATAACCTCCGTGTTCTCCCGAGTGGCCCTCTTTCAGCCTGGAGCCCGTGCGATCAGCTTAGTTAATAAATCCCCGGATTGTGATGGTAATTTCAATGGAAGTGATTGAGTGAGTCAGACGGCATTCATTTTCCCCCTCTGAAAACTGTATTAAACTGTGAAGGATTAGGAGCCAGTTCTGGAATGAATTAGAATTCATTAATATTTCCCCGATATCCAGACTCTTCTTTGGGTTCACTTTGTTTGTACCGCATTGAAGATTTGGCGATCGCGTTTTAGATAAGCTACTGCTACTCTGGAAGACTGAACAGTGAAACACGAAAAAAGAGGACGCGAGTGGAAACCGCTTCATTAAAACTGCATTAGAACTGGAAACAGGAGGTGCTTCTTCACACAAAGGCTTGTGGGAGGATGGAACAAGCTACCCAGCCATGTGGTTAAAGCTGATGCTCTGACTTCTGTCACAAAAGCAGAGGATGAGATTCTCAGAAGAACTTTTAACAACCAAACGGGCTAGATGGACCTTTTCTCATCAGTAACCTTATGTTTCTCCTATTATCTAATAACTATCTTGTTTTAAAACCAAGTAAGCCCGATAGATTCATTGTTGTAGTGGAGTTGCAGGCTGGTTGTTTGTACTACTGACAGTACACTGACCTTTATTAAGATGTTTCAAATGAGGGGAGGCTGTTTAACCCCTTCTGTCTCATGCAAAAAAATGAATACCTTATTAATCTGAGGATCTCACCCAGCTGTGTCATGCAAGATTTGAGGAATCAGCTTCAACAGCTTGACTTGGTGGTGTGTTTTAGGCACCCTTGACTCTTGTGTAATGGTGTCCCTGCTATTTTTAGTTATGAATCTGTTAAATTGTCATTCCTGTCGATGATGCCCTTTTGGCCTCAGTGTGTCTAAACATTATCCCATTCCAAGGCTTCTGGGTGGCTCTTACAGTAACAGCCCTCAGGAATGATTCTGCTGCCAGTTGGTTTCCAGCTACGCTCCAGGTCAGAATGTGGAAGGGAGCCCCACTCAGTCAGGTCACTACTTTCACAAGAGACCTGCAAGTTATTAATTATGAATCTAACTTTATTTGGCTATTGCTTTTATGCAAAGCAATTTACATTTGTATCACGGTGCATTTTACTGGATCAATCTGTGCTCAAAGGTGGGGATCTGAACCCACAATCACCCAGTTTTAAGTGCAGAACCCTGGCCGTTACTCCCAGCCCAGAGCATTATTAGGTTAGATCCATTTCTAGCGTGTGTTCTCCTGATATAAGGCATCTGACATAAGTGATAAGAACCAGTTTTCTGAGACTGTGCTGTGAATGTTATAGCACGTCTGGACACTGCAATAATTAGTACAATAACATTTTAAGTAAAATAAGTAAAAATAAGAAAATGTTATGCAACTGAAAAATAATAATAAAGTAATAAATAAAGTAGTATATACTTGTTTTAAAACTTCTCAATATTTTATTTCTTCTAAATACATCATAAATAAGACATTTGATTCCAAGGGCTTATAGCATGTTTAAGTGGCAGTGATGTCAGTCTTGTTTGTGGTTTTGGGGGCATGAGAAGTCAGCAGTGCAGAAAGGAGGAGAGTCTCTCAGGATGTGTGTGTTGTACTCTCTCCAGGACTGCAGACATGGCAGAGTGTCATGTTGCGTGATTAGCGGCAAGATACGTGTTTTTACTCTTAGCTTGAAGGAATAAGATTGCAGCCCGTGTACAGAATCATGATCGGTGCTTCTGTCTGTAACCTCAGATAACCATTCTGCTCGTTCCTTTCAAATTTTAGTTTCAGAAGTATATTCTTTGTTTACAAGCTTTAGTGCAGCCTTTTCTGCTTGAGAATAGGTCCATGAGCTCTGTAAATTGTCGTAGGGTTTCTCCTCCTGTCAGAGGAGTAGAGATTTTGGAAATTTCCTTCGGTTGTACTTTTTTTGTCTTTTGTTCTTGCGCTGTCTTTAAGTGATCGATAAGAGATTTGTGCTCCAAAAAGCTGATTTCTCCATTTCTTTAAGAATCCCAATAAATCACTTGTGCAGTCTGGTCAGGTAGTTTCCTTCAAACACTCACTTCTGCATCCCTTGGTCTGGACACTTTTGACCTGTGTCGTGATGCCTGGTGTTTGTTTAAAGATTTGGGGTGATCTTTATAATTGCAAAGTAAGTAACAGAACACACTTTGTTTTCGCATAGACTGATTGTCTGTCTGAGCCATCACCTCTTATGAAGTGCTATGGTGTTGTGCCCTGTACCCCACTAGGAGGGCGCACTTTATCACCCCAGGCCACAAGAGACTGAAGCTAGGAAAGGCTGGAAAGGGCATTCTGTCCCCAGGCACCCCAGATCCGTCCTGCTGAGTTAGCGCTGCAAATATGCAAAGTAAAAAAAAAAATCCTGGATGTCTTTATGTCACTCTTGTTCATAAACATCTGCACTAGCTGCAGGTACCAGTCCATTGTGATGATGTAACACGTACTGTTCTGTAAAGCTCAGTTCATTTTCAGCCGATTGAATTCTTAACACTGTAATGTTGCTATGTTCACATTTGCCAAGTTCACTGAGTTGTCTATGGTTTGGTATAAACCTGTATTAAACTGTATGGTGTAGAAATACAATAGTACTGTTTGTTTTCTTCTGTATTTAAAGCTAGTCTTGCTGGAAGAAAAAGAAAGGTTAGGGAATTATCCACCCTCTGCTATGCTATGTTCGTAAACCTGATCTCAGAATTTTCAAGCCGTTTTTGCTTCTTGTTGCCACTTAAAGAGTGATCTCCTCGGAGAAGGCTGAAGCATGCGATGAGGGTCTCTCTCTGTTCTTTTGAAAACAGTGGCAACCACCTGATCATAGTGAAGCACCGGCCCTCCCACAGACTCAGACGCACACCCACGTCCTCTCACACAGCATTCCTGGGAAGACGATTCATAGCTGTCAGCTCCCCAGCTGGGCAAGGTCACCAGATAATGAGAATAATTGCGAGAGGGGCAGCAGCACCCAGCAAAGAGATTTACAGCCCCATGGCATGTCACCAGCGCCATCAGCTGAGTACCCGATTTACTGCCCTCACCTTAATAGCCCAGCCATATCAACTGATAACAAGATTTACTGTCCTGCACCTCATAACCGAGGCACGTTAACCCAGGATATTCTGCCGCCAGCTGGCTGGCATCCCGATACCGAAGACTGATGATCCATAACTCAACAACCACACCATTATTAAGTCATATTTTACATTTCTGAGCTGCAAAGCTTTGCAGTGTTTCAGCACAGAGCCTGGCCAGCTTGCACGCGATTCAGAATCTTTTCAAAAACCTGCGTTAGTCTGTAATTGGCCAAGATGCCCACAGGACTTCAGAGCTCAGCCCTGTGTGAAGCACCACAGGATTCATTTCATGAGCATAAACAGCTAGAAAGGCTGTAATGAATGCAGTGGAAGTGCAAGGGCTGGCCATGTGAAAAGGATCATCTGTGGCCGGACTTCCAGCTGCTGTGCAACACTGAGCACCAAACAGTCCTGATACAAACAGGACTATATCTGGAAGCATGGCCGTATGGCTGGTGCAGAGCCTGATGCTAATGGCTTTGCAGAAGGCTGATACTGTATATGTAGCCCTGTTATCAAAGTGCAGTCATTAAATGAGTGAATTCCAACCTCAGGACTTAACAGTGTTTCAATAAACAGTGAAACTCAGACCAAGGAACACAACTGGAAACTATGTAGAAGTGCAAGCAAAGTAAAAACAAAGAACAGGGGGCACATGGTGTGATACCTTTTATATCTCATTGCAGTGGTCAGACCCCCCACTCCAGAGACCTCCATGTCTTTTACTAGGTGATTTAATATGGGGAAGTTCCTTTAAAACTGAGAACAGGAGACACCTCTTTACAAAAATGATTGTGGGAGTGTGGAACAAGCTACCCAACTATTTTGAAAGCCCTGACTTCTTTCAAGAGGTGACTGACTAAGATCTTCGGGTCAACCAGAGTCCGAAGAAAGAGGATGGGCCGAACATCCTCATTTTTCGTAATCCCCTTTTCATGTGAATCCAGAAACAAAGAACGTGACTAAGTGTGTTTTTGCTAACAGACCCTTTGAGTCTGTTGTTCATCCTTCAACCAGTATTAAAAGAAAGCAGACATGGAGATGTCCCTTCATGGGCAGCTCTTTGAATCCTCCATTGCTTGACAGGTGGACTTGTCGAATGTGTGGTGTGCAGTGTGTGGACAAGGAAGTGTTTGCTCAAGACCAAAGCTGTGTTCTGAACCTTTTTAAAAAGAAATTCTTAGTAAATTCAAAGTTGCAGATAATGTGAACATAGAATAGGATTTTTGTGCCAATTACACCTGGTTTTATGAAATTCATGCGCATTATTTCTGAGTTAGTAAGAGCGGAGCATATTTTGCACTAGAAACATTCTGGTTGTATTTCATTTATGCCACAGCAGAGAGAAAATCAAATTTTGGAAAGCCGAGTCCACGGTGTTCCAGCTCAAATGAGAAATTCATAGTTGAATGCTTGTGCCTCTGGAACTCCAGTCATCTGATCTCCTTTGCTTTAGGTCTGCATTTCCAATTTTGAAATCATTATTGCCGTATTAAAATCATTCTATTTTAATTAAAAGTGTAATTATTTTTTTTTTCACATTCAAAATCAGGAAAACAAGCTGAAGAATTACGGCAACTTGATTTCAGAGAGCCCGTTGGTGTGGTGAGGGGCGGCCATTTTGTGCCAGTATGTCCAAAACATGAGGAATTCTAAGAAGGGGGGGGGGGTGAGGCAGGAGAGGGGCGCTTTAATCAGAACAGGTCCCTTTGGCACACACGGCTGTCTCGTCTGTGCCGCTCCTCACTGTCGACTCCTCTCGCTCGCTGACCCTCCGCGGAGCCGCAACACTCCTGTAGCCTGGAGCTGCTGTTTAACATGCAGCGCGCGGCGCGAGTCAGCAGGGCCGAGGTGAAATACGAGCCGCGCGCTGTCTGCTGGGGAGACTGTGTCCTCTGGCTGAGGAAAGACATTTCACTGTCAGGACCGCGCACGTCGACGGACGGCAGAGAGATGATATGTTCTGCTTTTTTTTCATTATTATTCTTTCTCTCAGGAAGGTTTCAAGAAAAAAGCAGATAGTTCATTTGGAGCTTGTAGGTAATCAGGCCTGCACTGAGTCTGGATTGTTATAATGACGGCAGGTTCCAGCCTAACGCATCCCTTTTTTAAAGAAAGGACATGCTCACACACCTTTTTCCCATCTCCCACCTTCCTCAGAGCAACATGCGGCCCCAGTAGGTGAATGGAGGTACGCAGTCCTGTTTGGGAGAGCTGCTCTTCTGTCGGCTGACCTGCAGAAATTGAATTAGAATGCCGTGGCGTTTGAGATGGCTGCGCCTTTAATGCCCACAAAAGAGTTCGTTCTTGTAGCAGCAAAGACTCCGTGGATCAAGCTGAGGTTAATTCCACGCTGAAAGGTAAAGTAAGAAGAAAGAAGAAGAAGAAGTGCAACATATCAGCAGTGGAGGTGAAGAACTGGCTCTGAACTGGTCTCTCAGAGCTGGCACTGTGTTTTTTTTTTATTCTGACTTCTCAGCATGGAATCAGCCTCAAGCTGCTCTACTACAGCTCCCCCCAGAGAACCTCCCAGACACGATTTTATGTTTGTCTTGCTTTCTAGGCCCGTTTGTTTGTGGTTCAAACAATGTTTGATTACTTCCACATTTAAATAAGAATGAAAACCGCCAAAGAATGTGTCAGCGATTCAAACATTTTATTTCTCTTTCTCCCTTCTTTGCCTACCTCAAGCGTTGTGCGATTTCAAAATGGCTTCTGTGAAATCTGGAGCGAATGTAAGCCCTGGAGCGAAATACTCCAGAAATCAGCCAGTTGATGTTTTTGGTACAGTGTGCTTGAATTGGCAGATCTGTCCCTTTTCAATTAATCACTTGTTTTCAAAACTACATGCTGCATGTTGGACATTACCGTTACTGGGTGAAATAAGACTGATGTCTTGCTCCCCTGTGCTCTGTGCAGGTACTGGGAGCTGATCACTAGCTGCTTTTCCCCGGGGGAGATCCAGCCCCTCAGCAGGGAATGGGTGTCCAGGATCTGCTCCAGAGTCCCCAGGTATCTGAGGCACAGACACAGCCCAGCCCTCCAGGAGCTGAAACAGGTAGAGCATCTGATATCTCAGCACGATTGTTCCCCACTTCCCCCATGGGTTTCTTTCACTTCTTATACTAACTGCCTTTCCTTTCAAAGACCACGAGTCAGTAGAGGGACGTGGGGCTTAGTAAAATCTGCAAGAAAGTGAGAGGTTGCTTGACAATTCTTTAATCCATGGAAGCATTTCTGCTCCCGAACTGTAATCAGGACACTATTTCACCAGCCCTGACCTCAACAGACAGTATCCATTGCCGCACAATGGATGAGCCCAGGAATCTCTGTTATCCTTGTTCTTAAACACGTCAGTGAGTGACAAAATCGATGAATCAGTCGGTTAACTTGCACAGTCCTGCCAAGATGTGCAGGTTAACTTGCATGTCTTTATATCACTTGAAGGAGCTTTCCGAAGTTACAGTACATGAACTATCTTTTTCTCAAAATGTGTTCATTAATAGGTAAGCTTCCTTTTTTAACAATATAAATAAGGTCAGAAAACATGATTCTTGCAAGGTGATTCAGTTTGTAATTTGTTTTCATCAGTACAGTAAATGAAGAAGTGGTTTGAATACTAGCATTGTGTGCATATATACTGTATATGCTAAGACTTCCTCCTGTGCTTCAGTACAGAAAAGTGTTAAAGACCACCACAAGTACACTGAAATATTGCACTGACTTCAAATATCTGATTCTCACTGTGCTTTCCTTTTCCATTTTTTGTCCAGTTTTACTACAGATTCCCTCAGTGCCCACGGCACTCTTTCAAATCTCAATTCTCATTTTCTATGTCCTTGGCACTAAAGAACGTATGGACATAACAACATATGAAAAGTTGCAAGTGAAAGTTGGGCATTTAGCCCACCTGGCTGACATGGTAGTTAGTAACATCGATCCAAAGCTCTCATCTGCCTGTGTCTTGAAGGCAGTGGTTGCATCTTCATCCACATGGCCTCATAACTTCTTCCATTTTCCCACAGCCCTCTGGGTAATGGGAGTGTGGAACAAGCCAGACATAACTGTTAAATTAAGATAACACTGGTAGTGGCCGGTTTCCTATGATTTACCATACAATCACTTTGTGTAAAGGGCCTATCACATTCATTGAGAAGTGTAGAGTATACAGTCAGACCCGGAGTACTAAATGCAGTCTGAAACCACAGCACCCAAGCTGCACAGCTCACACAAACAGCAGGTTTGTTCTGTTGTGCCAAAAAGGCCCACATCTTGACAGGGTGGTCTTGAAGAGGGAAGTCCCAGAAAGAGACATCACTACATCAATCCTCTCAGACACTGCAGAATCAGTCTCATAAAGCCCTTTGTGAAAATGTGCATCGTAAACCACTTCTATTGTGAAGGGATGACAAAATGTTGTCTTCCTAAGATTTCAAGGTAACTGACTAAAAAGGAAAAACATAAAGAGACAGAAACCCTGGAAATTTTTAGATGAACCTCCCTCTGTACTGTTCCTTCACTCCAGGAGCACAAGATTCAAGAAGACAAGTTTGACACAAGATTCATCACTTATAGACCAACATATGCGGCATCTATTTTTTGTTCTTTTGGATGTGAGACAATTCTATTCCTTGTATCTGAAACTCTGAAAATATATGTTTGATTTATTTCACTGGCAGTAAAAAACAGTAAAAGTGTTTTATTTTCCTTATCGGAAACCCAACACACCAGCTTTATCTGGGTTGTCAGGTGAAGGGGTTATCAGCACACTGTTCAGAATTGCTTGTGGCAGGAATCGGTTATTCTGTTTTATCTAGGCTATAAAATTCTGGGCACTAAATTATTATAATTAAATTCCCCTCCCTCTCTGTTCTCTTTTTGTTGTCTTACCACTGTCTCAGACCTTGTCTGGTTGTCCCTGGTTTCTCTCCCTCTTCTTCCTTCCCTTGTACTAAATGGGGAAGTTAAAGCCGGCCAATTTTATCCAAAGGTACTTACATTTGTACCCATTAATACCCCTGGGTATTTTACAAGAACCATTTGTATGTATGAGTATGTATCTTGCTCAAGGGTACAACTGCAGTGTCTCACCAGGGACTTGAACCCACAACCTCCGAGTTAAGACTCCAGAGCCCTAACCACAGCTCCACCATGTTGCCCCTGCCTCTGCTCTCCCACGGCTCTTTCCCTCTGCCTTGTCGGGTCACTTCCTGCTTTCACTCCATCCTTCTCAGCTTCACTCTTCCTTTTTCTCCTCAAAATCTGCTTTCTCCTTCTCTCCTCCCACGCTCTCTCTCCTCTCTTCCCGCCAAGTCCAAGCCTATTACCCATTTCTTCCTTTCCCTCTTTTTGTCATTATCTCTCTCTCTCTCTCTCCCTCTCGGGTGTTAATGCAGTCTCTCACTCTTGACTCCATCTCTCTGTTGGCTTCATTATAACACCGCGCTCTGATCCCCGGCTCTGCAGCTCCCCTGCTGCAGCTCAGTCCCTGGATCAGAGAGCCGGGGATACATTACACTGCCCCTGGGGCGTCGGGATTTGTAACATGCAAGCCGAAGCTCGTTTCGCTCAGCTGGGATTTAGCTGCCCTGCCTGTGCTAGTCCCCTGCCTTGGTTTCTCACTGGTTAAGGGCTATAGTAATTAGCTCAGAGGTTGTAATGCTTCGGGGCTTGAATACAGTGGCCATGGGTGTCTCAGAGAAGACAGAAAAGAAACAAGACAGAAACAAGTTAGAGCTGAAGTATTCAATAGTAGTATTTAACAGAGCTGCTGACGCTAGACTCAGTGACTCAGTGTTCGAATACGGGGCTGCAGAGTGTTCAGCATACAGTATTTGAATTAGAGAGCTGAGTGACACTGGGCTCAGTGTTAGAGTACAGGGCTTCAGAGTGTTCAGTATATCAGAATTAGAGAGCAGAGTTACTCTGGGTTCAGTGGCTCAGTGTTAGAGTACAGGGCTGCGTGAGTGTTCATTATATCAGGGTTTGAGTGCTGAGTGACACTTTTTGTGTTAAGCATTCTCACAGCAGTATGTTCAGTATGGTAGTGTTAAGAGTGCTGGAGAACTCTTTGGTTTTTTTAGTCTGCAGTGAGTTCCTTCTTCTTGTCCACATTGTGACTGCTTTCATATTCCCAAAACAGTCCCAGTTTTGACTTGTTCGATTGATTCCAAATCTAATACCATTTCTTTGCTAGGCTTCTGAAATAACAACGGAAATGACAAACTATTTGAATAGCACATTAACTAGAGGCAGGATGTAATCATACAGTTCAAAGAGTGACTCTGCCTCGGGGCAGTATGAAAGCTGTTTAAAAAAGCTTTGATACTTGGTGGCTGTAGATCTCACCTCATCATCACCTCTCCTACTGCAACTTTATTTTGTAAGGTCTCGACAGTGTTGAGTTAAGAGGGGTTTGGTCTACCACATACAATTTGAGCAATGAATATTGCAAACAATATATATGCTATTCTTTATTTGGAGCAAAGCAAATAATCTCAGACAGAAAAACAGTACTAACCTACTTTATATCTTCGAGACCAATCGTAGATATGTTCTTGTCAATGTCTGAGGCTTCAAAGATATCTTGAGGACATATTAGTCTTTAATATGTGGTCTATTTTGCAACTCAGATATACAGAAGATACTGCATATAGAAAATAGATAAAAACAATTTATCAGCTTTACTTCTCAGTGTTATCAATCTTCATCTAAATGTGCTTTGCCTGTTTGTTCTTCAAGCTAGAAATTCACTGATAATAGAACTCTTCTGACTGCATTTTATCAATTCATCAGAAGAGGTCTTCAAGGAATCCTGCATAGCCTTAAGAAGGGAGAAAATAATATGAATTTGGAAACAAGTCTACATTAGAAGAGTGCATTTTTCTAATGTTCAGACCTTAGCTGTGTGAACTGATGCACTACCACACAGCAGCCGAACACTAGAAATACGTTTTCTTTTTCCACAGATAATTTGTAGCATCTAGATCAACAGGTTAGTATGATATTGGCCAGTGATTGCTGTTCTGTGTGCCATCTATTGTATTTGAGTAGTAGGGCCCTTTCTAAAGATGCTCACCACGATCATCCAGCGGATCAGAATGTCTTCATGACTGAAGATGTTGAGTGCTTCTACTGCACTGATAACATCTTGGTCTCAGATTCCCAGTGGTAAAACCCAAGACTCATCACCAGTTAGTATACAGAAACCACATTCTGCTAGATTAATACTGAATGCCAGCAACTGTTCACTGCTGAATGGAGATCTTGTGAACTGCTGCTTTTGGGGAATCCATATGGCAGAAAACTGTTAATATTCATGGACAGTGGCTTCAGTGCGTTCAACAGAAAAAGCTGTCTTTTTTGCAAAGTCCACAGGCTCGATTTGACAGCCTTGGTTTCCTCAACAGCAGTTGTTTTGTGAACTGGTGGCATCCAAGGATCGTCTGTACGCAGGGTCATCTTGGATGGATTCTCTGCCTTGTTTAAGCTCATTCATCCATTGCCTCACTGGAATAATGAGGGCAAATTCCGTATCATGGCAACTATACTTGCGGGGGATTTGCTTTTATGGTGTCTCCTGCAACTAAATTTGACAGCCAAGCATTGCTCAAACTTAGAAAAATCCATCCATCAATGCCCATTGAAAGAACAGAATGGCATTAGTCATCCACACATTGAGAAACAACCCTGGAACTGGGCATAAAATATGAATGCAATTACAGCACTCCAAAATTCAGAAGAACTACACACTAGTCAGAGTTGCAGAAGTATTTCAGTACCATTCACAGATGAGCATATACATCTTATCTTCCTAAAATATGTCTCAAGTGACTTTGGTAGAACATTTCTAATGGGCCTGTGAAGGCTGTGTTACAACAGGGGTGAATGCATTTGCAGTACTCTGCACATGTTAGGGAGATTACCACAGAATTGTGCTTCCACAATGTAAAACAACTATTTGTCCCAACTCTCTGTTAATTATTGTTCATTTTCAATTAATGAGTGAAAAGAAGGAAATTGAAATCATTTGATTGGACTTTTGATATGGAAATATGTCTTTGCATTATGGCCTTTGCAAACATATAAATTTAACAGGAGATTCAGTAGGTACATTTCAGAAATTAACAGATTTGTATTTCCGAAAACCAGCCCTACACTAGGATACGTTCTGCAAAGGAAACTGAAACGCAGATTGAAATGTCGAAATAACCCCATTTGCAGAAGCATAAAGGACCATGTTCTCCTTCCTTACAGTTTGAAGCATTGTTACGGTTAGGAAGCGCTTTTCTATAAATTCTTCCCATCCAGGAAAGTAAGGAGGGTGCAGAAACATACTTTGTGAGTGTGAAGATGTTTTAAGACAAGCACCCCAGTCATTCCTGGAAGAGTGAATTGTGTTTGCCGTCGTGTGTGTGCTCCAGGAGGTGGAAGAGGTCTACACAGTGGCCATGAGGAAATCCATCTTGGACTACGTGCTCCTGGATCCAGAGGAGCAGGAACGCTTGGGCATCCTTCTGCAGCACAGGGTAGGCAGGAGCATCGTTCAAATGCCTGCCGATGGCACACAGACTACTTTGTGTAGAAGCACAACGCTTGTAGAGGTGTGTGCCAGCCAATACTCCACATGGAACTGTCATGTGCTCTTGTGTGTTATTGTGTAATAGAGTCTCCAGACGTGGGTCTGGAGCTCTGCAGAATCCACCGGCTCCCCCCGCTGAACTTTCCTCTGCTCAACCGAACCAGTTTTTACTATTTGGTCTTTGATACCCTATTTAGTTGATAGGGATCTTTCGTCCCTGATAGAAGATACTGTACTTTTAAGACTTAGAGAACTGCAGCTCTCCGGGATGAGGGTAGACAGCATCATCTTTCAGTGCTGTTTCAGCCTGCTGCTTTGTGATTAATTGCGGTGCGTGATTGCCGTTGCGTGGTGCAGTCTCAGAGGAAGAGACGGCGGAATTTGAATTTCTGTTGGGACTATCAATCTAAGTGAGAAAACAGAGCTGACTTTTTTTCGTGGTTGAAGTACAATAGTTAAGGAGAAGGAAACGCTGTTGTTTAAAGTGCGTCTTGCTCTCTGTCTCTCAGTCATTCAGCAGTGCCGGCCGAGATGTCTTCCCCTGGCGTGAGCGAGTGAAGAGTGCCCGGACTCGCCTGAGGGGGGCGCTGTTTAACACGCACCCTGTCATGACCAGGCTCCTCCACAGCTTCGACCACTTGTAAGATACTCACAGCATTCCTTTCCAAGCGTCTGAAGCTCTAGGAGCCTTTGCAGAATGTCGTTCCATTCTCACCAGTGTAGTTCCCAATAAGCTGTGAAGCTGCAGTATGTTCTGAATTTCAAAAGTTACGATATTTCCCCTGTCCACATCTACAGTGAGCCACATCTGGCTCTGTTTGCTTCATTTGGATGCAGACTCTGACAAGGGTGCAAATTTAGAGAGGCCTCTTAATCACTCTCGCTGTCCAGGATCTGGGAAAATGACACAGAATTTCATTGACTTTAGAAAATGTAATTGGCTTTAGTCTGTAAAGCATCTTTATTTAACCAATCTGTTCTTGTACTATATTTAAATCACCTGCAGTAATAATTTCTTCAGATTTCTATAAAGGTGCTATATAAGTGTAAGGGTTATTGATTTATACGTAAATTCTGGTCCAAAGGAAGTGCCCCCCCTACTGGTTCTTCTTCATCACAGCTGAACCCTGATTTATCTTAAAGCTCTCCCATTCCAATACTTTGCCTTGCTTAGCTTCTGAGATCAAATGAGAACAGGCTAAAAGCTGGCAAGGTTACAGTCCACAAGTAATATACAGTACTAATGATCACAAACATGCAAAAGAACACTGAAGTCTTGTGTATGATACTGTCTTATAGTCTACAGATTATGGTATAGTCTTAGATTTTCAGAAGGCTTTTGATGAAATTCCTCGTAAAAGATCAATTCTCAAATTGCAGGCGGTAGACATTAAGGGAACTTCATTCATATGGAGAGAGAAAATTAGTTAAAAATGTTCAAATTGGGGTGATCTGTTGGGTGGAGTACCTCAGGGATCTGTACTAGAGTTACTGCTTCTCCTAATTTATATCAGTGGTCTAGATCTAAGCAAGGTCATCCTCAGATCAATTAGCTATTACAGCAACTACCAAACAGGCTAGATAGGCTGAATGGCTTCCTCTCACTTGTTCCTGTAAGTGTGAAGGAAGTGGATTTTGTATGGTTCTGCTCTGGTGTGGGGGGGGGATCTCATGTTGAGCCCTGTCATGGGGAAAAGCTGGTGCCTGAAGTGTTACAGACAGCAACCTGGCTGCTGCCCAGTGTAACCAGTGCAACACCACACTCACTACACTAAACCCAAACGTGCCTTCTACCTGCTAAGCCCAGGCAGGAAATGCAATTAAGAAGAAGCTGGAAGGTGAATTTACTTGAGTGACTCTGCAGACTCCGCATTTGTTTTGGCCTCATTTTGTGTGGTCCAACACACACAGCGATACAATTCATTTTGCTTACTTGTATGAGGTTGTGTGCATGGTGCAGATTAGCCATTGACGACTTCAGCCTCATTCTCAGAGGGAAATTATTTTTGATTATTTACTCAGTTTCCGACTACAGTTTGTTACTCGAAGGGTTTTATGATGGGTTTTTTTCTATATTTTGTCCTCAGCTTTGCAGACTTCACTCTGCTGGATATGAGAAGCTTGACCCTTGAGTCACCTTTGACCCTGGGTCAGCTAACTGATCACATGAGGGCTACAGCCAGCAGAAGGGCAGGGTATCTGCAGGAGAGCTGGCTGCAAGACTCCGCCCATATCGTCAGGGAGAACCGTGATGTCATTGAGGCCTGGATGCCCCAGGAAGACGAAGTAGGTAGTAGGTTCCATGGTGGAGATTTGTAGGATCAATCAGTGTTAGAAAGTTCCATTAATGCGCATTAGCATTTAAAAGGCTGATCCAATCCCAAAGCCATAAAAGAATGGATACTATTTATTTAATGCGTGAATTACTAAAGCATTTGGCAGTCTAAAAAGAGATTATAAAATGGCCGTTCTTAAAGATAAGGAACCAGATCTTGAGTGTCTTCTGAGTGTGTACACCCATTCTGTCTGTCTGTGAGTTGTCCTGTGGTTGACTGGAGTGTCTGATGGCATCTGCCCACCTCTGTCTGTCTGTGAGTTGTCTTGTGGATGATGGCGGTGTCTGATGGTGTCTGCCCACCTACAGTATGTCTGTCTGTGTGTTATCTTATGGATGATGGGTGCTTCTGGTGGTGCTTGTGCACCTCTCTTTATCTGTGAGTTGTCTTTTGAATCGTGGTTGTGTCTCCATGCTCTTTGTGTGGGACAGGCACAGAGGAGAAGGAAGATGGCACACTTCTTTGGCAGCGTGGCAACTCTGATGTCCCGACTCCTGAGGAAAGTGTTGGCGCAATCCCTAGAGGAACTGTCCACCTGGCTGGATGTTTACAGCCATGGGAATAGATACATAGAGAGCTACCCAGTATCCCACCTGGCTCTGCCCACCAAGCCCCAGCCCATCACAGTCTTCATGGTGAGTGTGATCCAGGAGCCATGTCTGATCTGACAAGTTCAAGAAATTCATAGTAAATATTTAGTATTAGGACACATGGAAGGTTATCATTTCAAATAATAAATGTGTGTTTTGTGTCCCTATAAATCCCATAAAGGAAACTAAATCCTTGGAGGCACATTGGCAAATGGTCAGTGTCAATCCTTCCACATTGCTGAGCACAAATCTTGCACACAATTATCTACTACAAAAATGAGTTACTATAGAAATGTTATGAGAATCAACAATGTACTCGGAGAACCCACTGCTGTTTTGTACTGTTATATCAACTTGTACTGTAATACAGCTTAGTTTGGCTGCCCCTTGGGGGATTTCAGGGGATTTCACTCTTGAAGGTTTTTTTTTCCAGTGTAGCCAGTACGGGCAGTTCTGTGGGACTATGTAGAAACTGAACAGGATGGTCTCATCTCACCAGTGGCCATTCTGATGTTGTGGTGCTTAGGAAGCAAGTGTGAAGTGTTTGTAGTAGCTAATCCATGTAATGGGCATAATTACCTAATTATCTAATGAACTAATTATTTGACCCAATTAATTTGTTAAGATCTAATTGACTCATTGTCAAGTGTTCCACATCATCAATAAAATTCCTTTTACTCTCCACATCCATAAAGCTAAAAGGCTGTTTTTGGAATACAAAACACATGCTTGTCAAAATTGACTGTTACCTTAAAAATGTTTAAGATGCTTTTGCAACATTTAGACTTTTTCACAGCACCACTGCCAAGGAGATGCTCACAACACAGCAGTTTTTTAATACAGTATAATATGTATACTACTGTATATTACTAAAGTATTTTCTTTCATAATGTTCGTATGAAAAAGAGAGGATTTGCTTGTAACCAAGGTCCTGGTTTGAGGTTCTTGGACAAAGCTTAAGGATCAAAATTAGTTGGTCTGCATTAGTCTGGAGTGAGGTGACATTTGTCCGGATGGTAATAGTCAGAAGTTGAGGAGCAGTGTTGACAGATGATCACATCACATGTTCAGAAAGTAGAGTCGGTGTCAAGAAGGGGGCATGCAATTTTCAAAGCAGCTCACATATACAGTACAACATGGAACGCAGGGAAGAGCTGCGCATTTGCACTCAGTGTCTGGCAGTCAGAGAGATTGTCTGTTACATTTTTAAAAAAATAAATAGGTTTTGGAGGGCTAGGACTTAAGCAGTCCTAGCCCTCCAAAACCTCTTCATTTAAAAAAGGAAAGTAGCAGGATTTATTAATATTATAGCAGACAACCAATCAGAATCATTTGATTATTTTGCCCAGTTTACTAATAATCTTTTCTATACTAATTTATTTGAATCATTCTTTTATCCAAAAACATTGTACATTTGCCCTCACGTGTGCAGCTGGGTATTTGAGTGGAGCAGTTCAGTTGAAGTACCTTAACCAGTAGTTCGACAGCAGTGGCGCACCTGGATTTGAACCCGTAACCCAGCGGTTACAAGTCCCGAACCCTGACTGCTGCTCCACACTGCTGCTGTATCGCCTCTGTGTGTTGTTCTTTGTAAAGACTGAGCACAGGACCCGAAGCAGTGCATGTGGGCTTAAGCAAGGTGTCACAAGAGAGACAGGAGGTCTAGACAATGTTCGTAGGCGTTGATTGACAAGCCCCGTCTCCCCTGTTGAGAAAACATGAATATTTCAGTGCGGCTGCAGTGTCAGCCAGTATCTCGATGGTGGAGGTTTCAGCGTGTGCTGGGCGAAAAAAAAAAAACACATTCACAGCAGTAATAGCCTTGGTGCCGGAGAGATTGATGTAGAAGCAATTGTCAAAAATAACATTCCAGCTCACGATCCTCAATCCCAGCCAAGCCTCGTTCGCAGTCAGGCTCAGTGAGATGGCAGGTTTGGGCCCTCTGAAATTTTAATCAGCGTGTTGATACCAGAGGTCAGAGCCCATCTCGGTGTTTACATGCGGAGTTAAAACGCTGTATTTGCATGCATATTATATTCCATTAACGGAATTGATGGAGTTTTCTTTGTCGTCTGAGGTGAAAAAGTCCATCTAGGACTTAAGTTACTTCTGTCTCACAGAGACGGATCCTGTGCTGGAGGGTAAGAGCTGCTACATGGCTCGAGATGTCTAGGTCCTCCCTAAGTCGGCTAAAGGGTGTGACACACTGATCTTACAGGAGCCAGCGGAGTGATCAGCTTTAATCATTATGTTGAGGAAAAACATATGAGAAAAACAAAGCTGATCATCAGTAGCGGGCATTGAAATTAGATTAATTGAAATCTCTATAGAGTTTAAGAGTTGCCTATATTTCCAGGAGGGTTAATTTAATATTTAATGGCTGTGGCGACAATAACAGAATACTGTGATCATACAATGCCTTTTATTAGCGGTTAATCAGTGATGAGGCCACGCCTAGTGTAAACCTGTGCAGTGAAACACAGCCCCTTTTGAAACAGACCACAGCAAGCATGGCACAGGGCTACTGGAAGAGTCCCTAGAGCAGCTCTGGAGATTTAAGGTAAGGGGCTGAGTTTAGGAGTAAACCTGACTTCTTCATCCCCAGCGAGGTAGACAGTATGCTTCCGATGGCTGAAAAATGTAGTTGTTATTAAAAATCCCGTCAATATGCTGAAACAGATTTTTACATTGGGACCGGGGAGGGGGGGGGGGGTTCTGTGGTTAGCATTAAATAAACTTTAAACTGAGCGCCAGAGACACTTTCCAAACTTGAATTTGTTCATGAATTGCACGCTGCTTTCAATATCTGCGCCGGCGCCTTAATCTCCGAGCTGTGTGCAGCAGGCCAGCCCCGGCGAGGTGTGAGAGAGGCATCTCAGACAGTGGTGTAATTTGGCGATGGCTGACTGCACAGAGAAGATGGAAGATGAAACCAGAGCAGGGATCCTCTGAGACCCCCCTCCCCAGCATGTCCTCCCACCCTACCAGCCCCCCCCCCCCCCCCTTCATAGACAGAGCGAGCTTTTCGCCATTAGGTGGAAAGCAATCTGCTGGCAAGGCGCATTTGGGCGAGAGACATCAATTTGCCACGTTTAATGCGCTCGCTGCCCCCAGAAGACATATTGATTATTTCTTCCCCGCAAAGTGACAAATACCATTTTCTGGGCCGTAATGGAGATGGATTGCGATTTTATGAGAGGCTGAGGAAAGACGGCTCCGCGATGCGGAGGGGAAAGAGGGGAGGGGACAGGGAACCGTGGTTCCATCTCGCCGTGCCCGCTGAAAATGAGAGAGAAAACAAACAGAGCTAATAGAGAGATGAAGGAGTCCGTCTGCAGCCTCTGACAGGCAGCGGGATCTTGCCCCTGCGGTTGACAGGAGTAATGAAAACGAGGTGTCTGCTCATTAAGCACAATACTTGGGAGACTCTTCCACTTAATGCGTCTGTTGCAGTTTACCGCAGCAGTATTAGCGATGCATCTCTTTGCGCGTTAGGGAGATTTCTGTCTAGGGCTGCATGGATGGCAGTAGAAAATGAAGACCTTTATTTGGCCATCGAGTAGAATCCGCTCAGGCACCCACAGTGTGACCTTCGATCACAAAACCAATTGCCCAACGGGGCCCCGGTCCTGTCCTCCATTGGTCAGACGACACGGCTGTGCGTTGGTACACATTAATGCTGTGGAGATGAAGATGAGAGTCCTGCAGATTCATTATATGTTGGAGCTGAACATGGAGCATTTGTATGCCTAACTCTCTACTTCCACAAACCCCTAAGCAAGAACAGCACAGCCAACGGGACAGTGCTCACTGTCACCATTTTGAAGCGCGAGTTTGGGTTTTTCCTTCTAAAAGGAAGAATGCAAACAGTTGGTCTGCTAATATTCTTTTTGTACTTTGCAGGAGGTGACTTTTTTTTTTAAAGATCTACCCGGCCAACAATTGTTAGACCAACCTCAGCCTATATTGTGAGACCTGACCAGATCAGATAATGGGGTAGTGCAATTGCACGGTTTGGGGTCCTTTGAGCATCACTCCATGGGAATTTTATATCTCGTTATAGAGTCCTGACACTTCTTTACCCAAGCCCTGTAAGTGTCAGGGTTTCTTATCAAAATGTGGAAGTTCTGTGAACTTGCAACACGTTATCTGTGAAACCCTGTTCAGTGCACCTGGAGCATGAGGCTCTTGCCGAACTGCATTCAGCAAGAGTCAAGAGGGGTTTGCGTAATGGAGGGGTAGAATTAGAAGTGGCCAGGGACACACAAGGCCACCACAAGACAGCAGGCTGATACCATCAGTCACTGTTTGTTACAAGCTCAGTTCTTAAAAAGTGTTCAGGCTCCATAGTCAACAGATTCCCCCAGAGACTCTCTTCGCAATTTGAAAGTTCAAATTGGCTCCTTGAGGGAAAAATAGATTAGATTCACATTCAGTCAAGCACATTGATCAATACCTGCATCTTTCAGGACCTTGTGTAGTTTCCTATTACCTACACATCTGGAATGTGACTAAGTGAAGTTTTGAGTAAACCCCTTGCGATGTAAATAGTGTGCGTTGCAGTAACTTTCTTATGATTTGGACAGTTTGTTCCCTTTGGAGTTGACTATTCTGCCGATTCCCCTGGGGAGAAAGGATTTCTGGGATACTTTTTTGTACCGCCGCCACCATCTTCACTGAGCACATGTTTTGAAACAGCAATGCGACACTATGCACATTCTCGGCTTTTTCCAGTCATGGTCAATGAAGCCTGGCCCATCTGCCCTTGGTAGAAAATGCAGGGTATTTGATAAAGCCCGGAAAAAGCATTGCAAAAGGCTTTCAAAATCAGATAAAAGACAGCCATTTGATAAATTCATAAAATGTCGGGTCTATGAAAATGGCAGGGACTGTAAATAATTTTTGATCTTTAAGAAGAAATGTTAATTCTAAGACTTAAGTATAACCTTATTTAATTCCGTAATTTTCCTAAATTAATGTACTGTAGGCAGCTTTTTATGTTTAGTTTCGTGTGGGTTGGTATAACATTCAATTCTATAATGTCT